TGGGAGCAAAAAGCTAAGAAGGAAGAAAAGGTAGAGAAGGAAGAAAGGAAAGAAGAAAAGGAAATAGAAGGAAGGAGTGGAAAAGGGAAGGGGAAGAAAAGAGGTTGAGAAGGAAGGAAGAAGGACAAAAAGGGAAAGGAAAGGAAAAGAGGAAGGAGAAGAGGAGAGAAGAAGAAAGGAGAGAAAGAGGGGGAAGGAAAGAGGGACAGAAGGAAGGAAAAGTGAAGGAAGAAGAAAGAGGTAGAGAAGGAAGGAAGAGAGAAAGGAAGGAAAAGAAAAAGGGGAAGGCAAGGAAAGAGGTAGAGAAGGAAGAAAGGAAGAGAAGAGAGAGGAAGGAAAGGGAAAGAAAAGGAAAGAAGGAAAAATTGAAGGAAGGAAAAAAGAGGTAAAGAAAGAAGGAGAGAAAAAAGGAGAAGAAAAAGGGGGAGCAGGAAAGAGGTAGAGAAGGAAGAAAGGAGAGAAAGAGGGGAAGGAAAGAGAAAAGGAAAAAGGAGGAGAAGAAGAGAAGGAGGAGAAGAGAGAAAGGGGGAGGAAAAGGAAGAAGGAAAGAGAAAAGGATGGAAGAAAAAGGAAGGAAGGAAAGGGAAGAAGGAAAGGAAAGGGAAGAAAGAGAAGGAGAGGAAGTGAAGGAAGGAAGGGAGAGGAAGAAAGACAGAAAGAGGGAGGGAAGGAAGAGAAGGAAGGAGAAAGAAAGGAAGGAAAGAAGGAAAGGAAGGAAAGAGGTAGAGATGGAAGAAAGAGAGAAAGAGGGAGGGAAGGAAGAAGAAAGAAGGAAGGATGGAAGGAGAAAGTGAAAGAAGGAGGAAGAGAGGAGGAAGAAGAGGAGAAAGAAGGGAAGAAGAAGGAAGAAGGAAGAGAAGGAAGAGAAGGAAAGGAAGAAGGAAGAGGGAGGAAGAAGGAGGAAGAGGAGAGAAGGAAAGAGAAAGAGAGAAGGAAGTAAAAAGTGAAGGAAGGAAAGAGGCAGAGAAGGAAGAAAGGAAGAAAGAGGAGGGAAGGAAGAAAGAAGGAAAGAGAAAAGGAAAGAAAAGGAAGGAAGGAAAGAGGCAGAGAAGGAAAAAAGGAGAGAAGAGGAAGGGAAGGGAAGAAAGAAAGAAGGAGGAAGAAAGAGAGAAAGAGGTAGAGAAGGAAAAGGAAAAGAGAGGAAGGAAAAAGAAGGAAAGAAAAGGAAGGAGAAAAGAGGTAGAGAAGGAAGAAGAGAAAGGGAGAAAAGAAAAGGGGAAGGAAGGAAGAGATAGAGAAGGAAGAAAAGGAAAGAAGAAAAGGGAAGGAAGGAAGAAGAGGAGAGAAGGAGGAAAGTTGGCCACAGCTAGTAATAAATAAATGGTGTGCCCTTCAAGCGGTGCCCAGCCCCCCCCCCCTCCTCCTCGCCCCAGGCGGCTCCGCAGCCGGAGATGCCAATGCCAACTCCAATTAACGGGGAACAATTACAGCGCGGCGTCCGCTGGCCTTGCGGAGGAGGGGAGCGGGCCCCTCGCTGTGCAAAGCGGGGCCTTTCGGACATGGCCGTGCCCTCAATCCCAAGGAGAATGGCATCCGGATTCTTTCAGAAGCAGGAGTGGAAGGGGAGGCGGGGCTCGAGCTGATTCTTCACCATTCCTCGGCCCAGTCCCTGGCTCTCAGGGTTCCGCTGCCTTCGCGCACTCTAGGACCGTGGTAGGCTTCAAGGCAAAGCGTGCGGCTCTGTTCCACTCTTGTTACAACCACGCACCGATTTCACGCCGTGGGACCTCCCTTTAAGGGGCAATTTCACGGCTAAATTGCAGGTCAGGGATCGGGCCGGCCTGCTATTTTTGTCCCCGACTGGCTCGCCAATGTGTTTGGAGACCGCATTGGATGGTCAGTGTGTAGACTCATAATATAATGCAGTGGACTGTTGTGTTGTTTCCGTTGCCCTGTTCTAGCAGCATTTTCTCCTGACCCTTCACCTGCATCTGGGGGCCTTTCCACACAGCCCTATAACTCACAATATCAAGGCAGATAATCCACAATATCTACTTTGAACTGAGTTATCTGAGGTTCCTTCCACATAGCTGTATAAAATCCATATTGAACTGGATTATTTAGCAGTGTGGACTCAGGGTCCCACATTATCTGAGTGTGGACTCAGGGTCCTTCCACACAGACAAAAGATCAAGGTAGAAAATCACATATTATCTGAGTGTGGACTCAGGGTCCTTCCACACAGACAAAATATCGAGGCAGAAAATCCCACATTATCTGAGTGTGGACTCAAGGTCCTTCCACACAAAATATCAAGGTAGTAAATCCCACATTATCTGAGTGTGAACTCAGGGTCCTTCCACACAGACAAAATATCGAGGCAGAAAATCCCACATTATCTGAATGTGGACTCAGGGCTCTTCCACACAGACAAAATATCAAGGCGGAAAATCCCACATTATCTGAGTGTGGACTCAAGGTCCTTCCACACAGACAAAATATCAAGGCAGAAAATCCCACATTATCTGAATGTGGACTCAAGGTCCTTCCGCACAGACAAAATATCGAGGCAGAAAATCCCACATGATCTGAGTGTGAACTCAGGGCGCTTCCACACTGACAAAATATTGAGGCAGAAAATCCCACATTATCTGAGTGTGGACTCAAGGTCCTTCCACACAGACAAAATATCGAGGCAGAAAATCCCACATGATCTGAGTGTGGACTCAAGGTCCTTCCACACAGACAAAATATCAAGGCAGAAAATCCCACATTATCTGAGTGTGGACTCAGGGCCCTTCGATACAGCCCTATATCCCAAAATATCTGAGTATAGAATCAGAGCCCTTCCACACAGCCCTATATCCCAAAATATTTAGGCAGAAAATCCCACATTACCTGAGTGTGGATTCAAGGTCCTTCCACACAGACAAAATATCCAGGCAGAAAATCCCACATTATCTGAGTGTGGACTCAGGGCCCTTCTACGCAGCCAAAATATTAAGGCTGAGAATCCCACATTATCTGAGTGTGGACTCGGGGCCCTTCCATACAGCCCTATATCCAAAATATCTGAGTATAGACTCAGGGCCCTTCCACACAGCCCTATATCCCAAAATATCTGAGTATAGACTCAGGGCCCTTCCACACAGCCCTATATTCCAAAATATTAAGGCAGAAAATCACACATTATCTGAGTGTGGACTCAGGGCCCTTCCATACAGCCCTATATCCCAAAATATCTGAGTATAAAGTCAGGGCCCTTCCACACAGCCCTATATCCCAAAATATTTAGGCAGAAAATCCCACATTATCTAAGTGTGGACTCAGGCCCTTCCACACAGACAAAATATTAAGGCAGAAAATCCCACATTCTCTGACACATTTGCAAATAAAGTTTCCTAGAGAAATACAAAAAGTGTGCTGTTATCCTTCCCTCTCAACTTTTTGACTTTTCTATTGCCTAATTTCAGGATAGGAGCAAGTATGCAGTCCTAAAGAGACCCAAGAGGATGGAACTGGACCTGCCAGATGTTGATGAGCTCCAATGCCTACCAGCCTAATCACTGAAAGGAAGGAAGAGCAGCTCTCCACGTCTGGATGACTTGCCCTTCCCATACAGTCTGAAAATCCACTCCTCCAACTACCAGACAGAAGGAATGCTATGAGCTGCAGCCCAACAACCCTGGAGGAAAGGCAGACTTCTGAGCAAATATTATTGTTATGAATTATAATTAACTGGATTTCTACCTTGTCTTTCTACCCTGCCATAGGAACTCGGGACAGCTTACAAATAAGCACACCTAATAAACATTTAAAATAAGACAGATCTATTAAAAAAACATTTCTGAGTGAATATAAAAGTTAGAAATACAAAAAAAATGCCATTAAAATCACATTCACCCCAGCAGAATGAGCCTCATCCTCCCCCGACTTCCTTGTGAAAAGCTAAGCAGAGATAGGCCCTCCTAATCTCTCTTGGGAAAGAGTTCCAAAATCTAGGAGCAGCCACCAAAAAGGCCATTTCCCAAACCAAGGCTCCCACTGGCCATTTCCCAAGCCAAGGCTCCCACTGGCCATTTCCCAAGCCAGGGCTCCCGCTGGCCATTTCCCAAGCCAAGGCCCCCCACTAGACATTTCCCAAGCCAAGGCTCCCGCTGGCCTTTTCCCAAGCCAAGCATCCCGCTGGCCATTTCCCAAGCCAAAGCTCCCGCTGGCCATTTCCCAAGCCAAGGCTCCCACTGGCCATTTCCCAAGCCAAGACTCCCGCTGGCCTTTTCCCAAGCCAAGGCTCCCGCTGGCCTTTTCCCAAGCCAAGGCACCCACTGGCCTTTTTCCCAAGCCAAGGCTCCCACTGGCCATTTCCCAAGCCAAGGCTCTCACTGGCCATTTCCCAAGCCAGGGCTCCCGCTGGCCATTTCCCAAGCCAAGGCTCTCACTGGCCATTTCCCAAGCCAAGACTCCCGCTGGCCTTTTCCCAAGCCAAGGCTCCCGCTGGCCTTTTCCCAAGCCAAGGCACCCACTGGCCTTTTTCCCAAGCCAAGGCTCCCACTGGCCATTTCCCAAGCCAAGGCTCTCACTGGCCATATCTAGGAGCAGCCACCAAAAAGGCCATTTCCCAAACCAAGGCTCCCACTGGCCATTTCCCAAGCCAAGGCTCCCACTGGCCATTTCCCAAGCCAAAGCTCCCGCTGGCCATTTCCCAAGCCAAGGCTCCCACTGGCCATTTCCCAAGCCAAGACTCCCGCTGGCCTTTTCCCAAGCCAAGGCTCCCGCTGGCCTTTTCCCAAGCCAAGGCACCCACTGGCCTTTTTCCCAAGCCAAGGCTCCCACTGGCCATTTCCCAAGCCAAGGCTCTCACTGGCCATTTCCCAAGCCAGGGCTCCCGCTGGCCATTTCCCAAGCCAAGGCTCTCACTGGCCATTTCCCAAGCCAAGGCTCTTACTGGCCTTTTCCCAAGCCACACTAGCCATTTCCCAAGCCATGAATCCCACTGGCCTTTTCCCAAGCCAAGGCTCCCGCTGGCCATTTCCCAAGCCAAAGTGCCTCTCTCTCCTCACCTGAGTTGTAAGCCACCAGGTCGACGCCGAGGGCGGGGCTCTTCCGCTTCCTGGGCCGGCCCTTCTGGACGGTGCCGGCGCCGTTGAAGTAGGGCAGGGCCAGCCCCCCAGGCCCGCCTTTGGCGGCCAGCTCGGTGTAGCTCATGGGTGGGGCTGGGAAGGCAGCCTCGGGGCCAGTCTGCTGCTGCTGGAGGAGGCTCTCGAAGTGGGCCCGGCAGTAGACCACGCTGTCCTTCATGCCGAAGTGGTCGCCCGTGGTCAGTGTCTTGTGGCAGGTGGTGCAGGTGAAGCAGCTCAGGTGGTAGACCGAGTCCCGCGCCCGCATCACCATCTCCGAGGCCGAGATGCCCAGGTGGCAGCGGGCACAGCGCTGCACGGAGAACCTTCTGGGGGCAAAGCGGGAGGAACTTTCAAAACCGCTCCGAAAAACTCTTTCCTGTCTACACTGAATGCTCAAGCCATGCTCTGTGAACTACCAGGGCTCTGGCTACAGACAGCCTAAAAGAATCCCACACCTTATTTGACTGTGGAGCAGAACAGACAACTCCGCATCTGTATGCTTGTCCACTATGCCCTGCCTCATGCACAGAGGAAGAATTGTTGGCTACAGATAATGCCATTGCTGTTGCCCGTTTTTGGCTAAACGATATTTAGCCGCCTGTGCTCCATCTATTTTTATCGGTTTTATACTACCGTATATACTTGAGTATAAGCCGACCCGAATATAAGCTGAGACACCTAATTTTATCACACAAAAAACTGGGAAAACATATTGACTCAAGTATAAGCGAGGGTGGGAAATGCACTCACTACTGGTAAATTTCAAAATAAAAATAGATACTAATAAAATTACATTAATTGAGGCATCAGGAGGTGAAATGTTTTTAAATATTTACATAAAACTGTAATTTGAGATGAGACTGCCCGACCCTGATGAAATCATTATTCTAACCTTCTTCAATGTAAATGTACTTACATATCCTTCCAACAATAATAGAGTAAAATAATAAATGTACTAATAATATCCCTGAATATCAAGGCAGAAAATGCCACAATATCTACATTGAACTGGGATAACTGAGTCCACACTCAGATAATGTGGAATTCTCTGCCTTCATATTCTGGGATATATGGTCATGCGGAAGGGCCCCCAGACAGGCCCTATGTCCCAGGTTCTGATCTCAACTTTTCTGCTTTAAACTGGATTATATGAGTCCACACTGCCAGATAATCCAGGGTAAACAGAAAACCTGGGATCACACCCTGGAATATGGGGCCTGTCTGGTTTGTGGCTACAGAAAGGAAGGGCCATTCTTTCCACACAGTCATATAACCCAGAATATCAATGCAGAAAATGCCACAATATCTGCTCTGAACTGGGTTATTTGAGTCCACACTCAGATAATGTGGGCTTTTCTGTCTTGATATTCTGGGATATAGGGCTGTGTGCAAGGGCCCCTAGACAGGCCCTATATCCCATGATCTGATCTCAGTTTTTCCTGCTTTAAACTGGATTATATGAGTCCACATTGCCGGATAATCGAGGTTAAACAGAAAACCTGGGATCAGATCCTGAGATATAGAGCCTATCTGGAAAGGTACATAGTTTGTGGCCACAGAAATGAAGGGCCCTTCCTTCCACACAGTCATATAACCCAGTATATCAAGGCAGAAGATCTGCTTTGAACTGAGTTGTTTGAGTCCACACTGCCAGATAATCCAGGATAAACAGAAAACCTGGGATCAGATCCTGGGATATAAGGTCTGTCTGGAAGGACACATAGTTTGTGGCCACAGAAATTATGTGTCCTTCATTCCACACAGTCATATAACCTAGAATATCAATATCTGCTTTGAAATGAGTTGTTTGAGTCCACACTGCCATATAATCCAGTTTACTGTGGATTTTATACAGCTGTGTGGGAGGGGCTGAAGTTTCTAGAGTGTAACAATGACTTTCAAAGTAAGCACTACACAATTAAATAGAAAATAATACTTTCAAACCAGGAACAGGGCATTTTTTTGTCAAATTTTGTTTACATAGTGTAACTGCAATGAACCACAATATATATAAATGGACACCACCATGACATGCAAATCAGTACAGTCCAACTGACCATATAAGGCAGTTTCAAGAAACTGCATTATATGACAGTGTAGATAGGGCCAGGGAGAAAAACCTTACTTTTAAGGCCCCTTCCACACAGCTGTATAAAATCCACATGGATCGGGATTATATAGCAGTATGGACTCCGATCATCCAGTTCAAAGCAGATATTGTGGATCATCTGCCTTGATATTCTGGGTTAGATGGCTGTGTGGAAGGGCCCTAAGACCAAGATTGGGAAGAGACATATAGTCATAATTTTGGAAGGAAAACAAAAGTGCTTTTGAAGCATCTCCAATACTTGCTTGGGAGGAAGATATAAGAAACTCAGGGCCCTTCCACACAGCCCTATCCCAAAATATTGAGGTAGAAAATATCACAGTGGGACTATCCACACAGCCATAAAAACCAGACTATCAAGGCAGAAAATTCCACAATGGGACCTTCCACACAGCCTTATATCCCAGAATATAAAGGCAGGAAATCCCACAAAATTTGCTTTGAACTGGGTTACCTGGGGGCCCTTCCACACAGCCCTATATCCCAAAATATTGAGGCAGACAATCCCACAATGGGACCTTCCACACAGCCCTATATCCCAGAATATCAAGGCAGAAAATCCCACAATGGGACCTTCTACACAGCCCTATATCCCAGAATATCAAGGCAGGAAATCCCACAAATGGGACCTTTCACACAGCCCTATATTCCAGAATATCAAGGCAGGAAATCCCAAGGCAAGAAATATTTGCTTTGAGCTGAGTTAATTGAAGGCCTTCCACACAGCCCTAGATCCCAGAATATTGAGGCAGAAAATCCCGAATTATCTGAGTGTGGACTCAGATAACCCAGTTCAAAGCAAATATTGTGGGATTTTGTGCCTTAATATTCTGAGATATAGGGCTGTGTGGAAGGTCCTCCTGGATCTGATCCCAGATTATCTGCTTATCCAAAATTATCTGGCAGTGGAGACTCATATAATCCAGCTCAAAGCAGATAATTCTGGGATCAGATTCCGGGATATAGGGTAGTGTGGAAGGGCCCCTGGATCTGATCCCAGATTATCTGTTTATCCCAGATTATCTGGCAGTGGAGACTCATATAATCCAGCTCAAAGCAGATAATTCTGGGATCAGATTCTGGGATATAGGGTAGTGTGGAAGGGCCCCTGGATCTGATCCCARATTATCTGTTTATCCCAGATTATGTGGCAGTGGAGACTCATATAATCCAGCTCAAAGCAGGTTATTCTGGGATCAGATTCTGGGATATAGGGCTGTGTGGAAGGGCCCCTGGATCTGATCGCAGATTATCTGCTTATCCCAGATTATCTGGCAGTGGAGACTCATATAATCYAGCTCAAAGCAGGTTATTCTGGGATCAGATTCTGGGATATAGGGCTGTGTGGAAGGCCCCCCTGGATCTGATCCCAGATTATCTGCTTATCCCAGATTATCTGTTTATCCCAGATTATCTGGCAATGGAGACTCGTATAATCCAGCTCAAAGCGGATAATTCTGGGATCAGATCCTGGGATATAGGGCAGTGTAGAGTACCCATTAACTGCTGCAAGGGAGGCTAAAAAATGTCAAAAAGGCTGTAGCCCAGAATACACCTACCTGGTAAACAAACTCCACTGAAAACAATGAAACAACACTGCTGGTTATGGGTTTCTAGGGCAGCATTCAGCTCCTCTCCTCAACCTTTCACAACAGACACACTTTTGTGTATCATAGATCTCCTTCCCTTCTAACAAGGAGAGCCACCAGCCAAAAATCCTCCCACTTCCACCTTTTTGTTAAAATTTCAATTAAATTTAATAGGATTTTAAATCTATGGCATGGGTTAAGGTTAGAAAGGAGTCAGCACTGAGTTTGAACAACTTTGGAGAAGGAAAGAGAAACATTTCCTCCTCTGAGAAAAGGAGAAAGGTGGCTCTTTTAAGGTGGCTGTCACTACAGGTATAGTATTTCTTCCTTTGGAAGACCACACACTTATTTCAGTACCACCAAGAATGCTCTTTGATTGTAGGTGAACTATAAATCCCAGGAACTACAAATCCCAAATGTCAAGGTCTATTTCCCCCAAACTCCATCTGTGTTTCTATTTGGGCATATGGAATATTTGTGCCAAGTTTGGTTCAGATCCATCATTGTTTGAGTCCACAGTGCTCTCTGGATATAGGTGAACTACAACTCCCAAACTCAAGGTCAATGCCCACCAAACCCTTCCATTATTTTCTGTTGGTCATGGGAGTTCTGTGTGCCAAGTTTGGTTCAAATCCATCGTTGGTGGGGTTCAGAATGCTCTTTGATTGTAGGTGAACTATAAATCCCAGCAACTACAACTCCCAAATGACAAAATCAATTTTTTTTGAGTGAAGGACATACATTGGGTTGTTAGGTGAATGCTGTCTAAATTTGGTGTCAATTGGCTCATTGGTTTTTGAGTTCTGTTAATCCCACAAACGAACATTACATTTTTATTTATATAGGTGGTCCGATACATTCAAAGAGTCAAAAACCATGACAGAGTTGTGCTGAACTGGATGGCTGTTGTCAGAGGTGGCCCTAGGTAATTTTCAACGGTAAGCAAACAGTATTTTGGCACACACACACACCCACCCCAACCAATCATTGATATATATTTTCTGTTCGTCATGGGAGTTCTGTGTGCCATATTTGGTTCAATTCCATCATTGGTGGAGTTCAGAATGCTCTTTGATTGTAGGTGAACTATACATCCCAGTAACTACAACTCGCATATGTCAAGGTCTAGTTTCCCCCAAGAGTGCCTCAAGAGCACCCCTGGACAAAATCAACTATACTGCAAAGGCTTACTTTGCGTAATGGTTGATGATGATGATGATGATGATTATTATTATTGTTGTTATTATTATTATTATTATTATTATTATTATTATTATTATTATTATTATTATTAACCCCAGCAATGATACAATTGGGCCAAACTTCCCACACAGAACCCCCACGACCAACAGAAAATACTGTTGCCTTTGGTAACCCACCTGACACCCCCTCATGACCCCCTTCCCAGGGGTCCCGACCCCCAGGTTGAGAAACACTGTAATAGAAGATAACATGGGGATCACTAGACTGAGCCACAGCAACGCCTGGCAGGGGATGGCTAGTTTTAGATATATGTATATGGGGGAAGGGCCTCTTCCTACGCTGCCATAGAATCAGATTATCACAGCAAATCATCCACATGCTTTGAACCGGATCAAATGAGTCCACACTGCCATATAATCCGGTTCAAAGCGGATAATCCGGATTTTATATGGCAGTGTAGAAAGGGGCCTTAGAATGGAAGAAAGGCAGTGTCTTGTGAACTAGTTTGCCAACTAAGGGAAAGATGGGTGAGTTTTTACCATTCCAAACAGAAGGTCTATGGCAAAGATTGCATTGTCTGCCTTATGATCCTTTCCTTGTTGGTTTAGAAATGGGGATTTAACACGAGAACTGGACTTCTGGCCACTTCTCAGCCAGATCCCACACTTTCCAGCAGACTTTCGGGGGACCCGCTCCATGTTTCCAAGGAAACGGTGTGCTTAATCCGCTTGGAAAGGTCGGGAGGGACACTGGCTCCAATCCGGATGGGCCTCTTGGGGGGGGGGGGAGAACAAAACAAGGGCTTGTTTGGGGGCGTTTGAGCTCGCAAAGGGGAAGGAAAAGGGGGTGAATGGAGAGATACTCTGCTGCAGAGAGGCATCAATGGTTCAATGCTATGGGATCCTGAAAGCTAATGCACTATAGGTTCGGTGTTGAGCTGTATGGAAAACACTGAGGCTGTGCCCCATGCAACTGTCTTCCTTCAAAACCTAACATTTCCATCTTCTATCTAAATAAAAATGTAATGTTCGTTTGTGGGATTAGCATAACTCCAAGACCACTGGACGGATTGACACCAAATTTGGACACTATACCCCTAACAGACCAACGAGTGACCATTATTCATAACCCCCCCCCCAAAAAAAAGTGCGAAAGGACTTAAAAACCCAAAAGTCTAAAAAATATACAAAAAGGGAGGAAGGGAGGGAAGGAAGGGGAGGGAGAAAGAAAGAAAGAGCGAGAGAAGAGAGAGAAAGAGAAAGAGCGAAAGAAGAGAGAAGGAAGCATGGAAGCAAAGAGGGAAGGAAGGAGGTAGAGAAGGAAGAAAGGTAGAAAGAAGAGAAAGAGGGATGACAAGAAAGAAGAAAAGAGAGAAGGAAGCATGGAAGCAAAGAGAGGAAGGAAGGAAAGAGGTAGAGAAGGAAGAAAGGTAAAAAAAAAAAGGAAGAGAAGAGAGAGTGCAAGAAAGAAGAAAAGAGAGAAGCATGGAAGCAAAGAACAAAGGAAGAGGGAGAAAGAAGAAGGAGAAGTAGAAAGAAAGAAAAAGAAAGAAGAAGAGAAAGGGGAAAGAAAGAAGATAAGAGAGAAGGAAGCATGGAAGGAAGGAAAGAGGTAAAGAAGGAAGAAATGTAGAAAGAAAGAGGGAGGGCAAGAAAGAAGAAAAGAGAGAAGGAAGCATGGAAGTAAAGAGGGAAGGAAGGAAGGAAAGAGGTAGAGAAGGAAGAAAGGTAGAAAGAAAGAAGAGAAAGAGGGAGGACAAGAGAAGGAAGCAAGGAAGCAAAGAGTGAAGGAAGGAAAGAGGTAGAGAAGGAAGAAAGGTAGAAAGAAAGGTAGAAAGAAAGAAAGAAAGAAAGAAAGAAAGAAAGAAGAGAAAGAGGGAGGGAGGACAAGAAAGAATGAAAGAGAGAAGGAAGAATGGAAGCAAAGAGCAAAGGAAGGAAGGAAAGAGATAGAGAAGGAAGAAAGGTAGAAAGAAAGACAAGAAAGAGGGAGGGCAAAAAAGAAGAAAAGAGAGAAGGGAGGAAGGAAGCAAAGAGCGAAGGAAGGAAGGAGAGAAAGAAGTAGGAAAAGGAAAGGGAGGAAAGATAGGAAAGAGGTAGAGAAGGAAGGAAGGAGAGGAAGGAAGGAAGGACGGAAGGAAGGAGAGAGGGAGCGAAGGAAGGAGGGAAAGAAAGAGAGAAAGAGGGAGGAAAGAAAGAAGGATGGAAGTAAAAAGTGAAGGAAGGAAAGAGGTAGAGAAGGAAAGAAGGAGAGAAGAAAAGGGAAGGAAGAAAGGAAGGAAAGAGGGAGAGAAGGAAAGAATTGCTTTCCCTGCCATTTGAAACCATTGAGCCCTTGTGCCCTGGACTTCAGAGGAGCAGAAACTCAGTCTTCCCTCTCCTACTCTTCCTCCTTTTCCTCTTCCTCCTCTTCTTCCTTCCTCCCTCAATGGGACACCCCTTAAATCTTGAAACATAGTTCTTATGTTCCCTCTCTACCTTCCTTCTCCCAGCTAAACATCCCCCAGGAGGAAGGAGGAAGGAAAAAGAGAAGGAGGGAGGGAGGAAGAAAGAGGAAGAAGGAAGGGAAGAGGAGGGAGGGGAAAGAAAGAGGAAGGAGGAAGAAAGAAGAGAAGGGGGAGGAAGGAAGAGGAAGGAAGGGAAGAGAGGAAGGAAGGAAGAAGGAAGGAAGAGGAAGGAAGGAAGGAAGGAAGGGAAAGGGAGGAGGAAGAGGAAGGAAGGGGAGGAGGGAGGAAGGGAAGAAGAAAGGAAGGAAGGAAAGACAAAAAGGAAGGAAGGGGGAGAAAGAGAGAAGGAAGGAGGGAAAAAGAGGAAGTAAAGAAGGACAAAAGGATGGAAGAGAAAGAGAAGGGAGGGAAGGAGGGAGGGAGGAAGAAAAGAATGGAAAGAAGGAATGAAGGGAATGGAGGGAGGGAGAGGAGGGGAGGGGGAAAGAGAGAAGGAAGAAATAACAAGGAAGACAGGGAAGGGAAGGAGGGAGGAAAGAAGGAAGGAAGGGAAAAGGGAGGGAAGTATGAAAGGGTGAAAGGGAAGGGAAGGAAGGGAAGGAAAAAGAAGGAAAGGAAAGACAAAAGGGAAGGAAGGGGAAAGATGGAAAGAGGTAGGAAAGAGATAAGAAAGGATGAAAAGGTAGAAGGGAAGGATGGAAGGAGAAAGAAGGAGGAAGGAAAGAGAAGGAAGGAAAGACAAAAGGGAAGGAAGGATGGAAGTATGAAAGGGTGAAAGGGAAGGGAAGGAGGAAGGAAAAAGAGAAGGAAAGGAAAGACAAAAGGGAAGGAAGGAAGGGGAAAGATGGAAAGAGGGAGGAAAGAGGGAAGAAAGGATGAAAAGGTGGAAAGGAAGGATGGAAGGAGAAAGGAGGAGAAAGGAAAGAGGGAAGGAAAAGGACAAAAGGGTGGAAGGGAAGGAAGGAAGGAGAGAAAGAGAAGAGGGAAGGAGGAGGAAAGAAAAAGAAGGAAGGGGGGAAAGGAGGAGGAGGAGAGGAGGAGGGGAAAGAGGAAGAAGGAAAAGGAAAGAAAGAAGGAAGGAAAAAAGAAGAAAAGGAAGGAAGGAAGGAAGGAAGGAAGGAAAAGAGAAAGGAGGGAAGGAAGGAAGAAGGAAGAAAGGAAGGAAAGGAAGAAGGGGGAGGGAAAGAGAGAAGGAAGGAAATAAAGGAAGAAAGAAGGAGAAGGAAGGAAGGAAGGAAGGAAGGAAGGAAGGAAGGAAGGAAGGAAGGAAGGAAGGAAGGAGAAAGAGAAGGGAGGGAAGGAGGGAGGAAGAAAGGAATGGAAGGAAGGGATGAAGGGAATGAAGGGTGGGTGGGGAGGGGAAAGAGAGAAGGAAGGAATAACAAGGAAGACAGGGAAGGAAGGGAGGAAAAAAGGAAGGGTATTGTTTTTACTAAGATATGTGCAGTGATCATAGGAATTCATTCATGCTTTTTCAAATTATAATCCGGCCCTCCAACAGTTTGAGGGACTATGACCTGGCCCTCTGTTTAAAACGTTTAAGGACCTCTGTGCTAAAGGTTTGGGGCGACTTTCCTAGTTAGGGTGAGTGAAGTATTCCTCAAATCGGAGCTGGGAGGACTGACTTTTTTGGACTCTAAGAACCCCCTCGCAATATATTGAGGAGAGGGATATAACCTGAGAGTTACCTTCCCCAAGGGCTGGGTTGTTGGCTGAGCTCTCTTTGGGGGTCCCCTCCCCTCCGTACCTGTAGTAATCCTCCTTGCAGTAGATGCTGCCGTCCTTGGCGAAGCAGGTGAGCTCGGACTCCAGGGCCAGCTTACACTCGCAGCACTTGAGGCAGCGGAGGTGCCACTGCTTGTCCACCGCCAGCAGGTAATAGCGATCCGAGATCTTGCCGCCGCAACCCGCACACAAGGCCGGCTTCTCGGGGCTCAGCGGGGGCATGCTCTGGAAAACAAACCACCGCATTCAGACCAGGGGCCTTTCCCCTCCAAGGAAACCTCCATTTGGAACCAGAAAAATAGGGAAGAGGGGCAGGGAGAGCGGCCAATTGGTGCCCCCCCCCCCGACCCGCCGCGCTGCTTTCAATATGGCTCATTCCTTTGGTCATTCCAGTGCTCTTGGCAATTGATTGGCAGCCATTCCTCTCCATTCAGGCTCCAGAACTCAATGTAACTGCATCAGACTTATTTGTTTAACTTTTCCCTCTACAAAGGAGAGGTCTAGCTTCCTTTTTTTTCTCTCTATAGCAACATTTAGGGAGAAGGTTTTACACCAGGGTGTTATTTAAACCTTTAAAGCAGGGGTCCTCAAACTAAGGCCCGCGGGCCAGATATGGCCCTCCAAGGTCATTTACCCGGCCCTCCCTTAGGGTCAACCTAAGCCTGAAATGACTTGAAAGCAGACAACAAGAACAACAATCCTATCTCATCAGCCAGGGGTCCTCAAACTATGGCCCAGGGGCCAGATACGGCCCTCCAAGGTCATGGATATGGTCCTCCAAGGTCATGGATACGGTCCTCCCAGGTCATGGATGCGGCCCTCCAAGGTCATGGATGCGGCCCTCCAAGGTCATGGATGCGGCCCTCCAAGGTCATGGATGCGGCCCCCCCAGGTCATAGATGCGGCCCTCCAAGGTCATGGATGCGGCCCTCCCAGGTCATGGATGCGGCCCTCCCAGGTCATGGATGCGGCCCTCCAAGGTCATGGATGCGGCCCTCCCAGGTCATGGATGCGGCCCTCCAAGGTCATGGATGCGGCCCTCCCAGGTCATGGATGCGGCCCTCCCAGGTCATGGATACGGCCCTCCCAGGTCATGGATGCGGCCCTCCAAGGTCATGGATGCGGCTCTCCAAGGTCATAGATGCGGACCTCCCAGGTCATGGATGCGGCCCTCGCAGGTCATGGATGCGGCCCTCCAAGGCCATGGATATGGTCCTTCAAGGTCATTTACTTGGCCCTCCCTCAGGGTCAACCTAAGCCTGAAATGATTTGAAAGAACACAACAACAACAACAATCCTATCTCATCAGCCAAAAGCAGGCCCACACTTCCCACTGAAATACTAATAAGTTTATATTTGTTAAATTGTAATTCATTTTAATTATTGTATTGTTTTTAAGAGTGTTTTTGCACAACAAATAAGATATGTGCAGTGTGCATAGAAATTCATTGAGCAGGGGTCCTCAAACTTTTTCAACAGAGGACCAGGTCACAGTCCCTCAAACTGTTGGAGGGCCAGATTATAATTTGGAAAAAAAAACATGAATGAATTCCTATGCACACTGCACATTTCTTATTTGTAGTGCAAAAAACACTTAAAACAACACAATAATTAAAATGAACAATTTTAACAAATATAAACTTACTAGTATTTCAATAGGAAGTATGGGCCTGCATTTGACTGATGAGATAGGACTGTTGTTGTTGTTGTGTGTTCTCAAGTCGGTTCAGACTTAGGTTGGCCCTAAGTCTGAAAGCCTTAGTTTGAGGGACTGTGGCCTGGCCCTCTGTTTAAAAAGTTTGTGGATCCCTGCTTTAAAGCGTCCTTTTTCTTCTATTTATTTATTTATTTATTTATTTATTTATTTATTTACTATATATTTATATACCGCCCCTCTCAGCTCGTAGGCGACTCAGGGCGGTGTACAGTCAGCATCCAAAAACATAAATATGATTAAAAACAGTTAATTCAATATAAAACCAGATCAAACAATCAATATCAATTTAAAAAACATGTATCCGTTTTTGAGTCTCCTTGTGAAAAACTATCCCAAGGTGGGTCAAAAAAGTAATGCCTGCGTGGCTCTAACTTCTCTTTCTTTCCCAGCTACTGGACCAAGGGTCTGGAGAACAAGCCCTATGAGGAGCGGCTTAAAGAGCTGGGCATTTTTAGCCTAAAGAAGAAAAGGCTGAGAGGAGACATGATAGCCATGTATAAATATGGGAGGGGAAGTCATAGGGAGGAGGGAGCAAGCTTGTTTTCTGCTTCCTTGGAGACTGGGATGCGGAACAATGGCTTCAAACTACAAGAGAGGAGATTCCATCTGAACATTAGGAAGAACTTCCTGACTGTGAGAGCTGTTCAGCAGTGGAACTCTCTGCCCCAGAATGTGGTGGAGGCTCCTTCTTTGGAGGCTTTTAAATTTAGGCTGGATGGTCATCTTTCCTGGTGCTTTGAATGCAATTTCCCTGCTTCTTGGCAGGGGGTTGGACTGGATGGCCCATGAGGTCTCTTCCAACTCTATGATTCTATGTAGGCATGAGATAATGGAGGTCACCTTACTCTATTCATTTAGTCCCCCGCTCCCCCCCCCCCCCCCGTCCCCAAGACTAAGGTTAAACAATGGCACAAATATGTACAGAATTGGTGGTGACTATGTCTAAGGGTAGTTTTGCGTAGAGGACAGTCCAGGCGATGATCTTCTGCTGTTCTAGGTTCACTCATTTATGACACAGGAGGCAAAACTTTTTGACCCACCCAGGTCAATAAATACAAATTAAAAATGTAATATTCGTTTGTGGGATAAACATAACGCAAAAACCACTGGACGAATTGACACCAAATTTGGACACAATACACCTCTCAGGCCAATGAGTGACTATCACTTATAAAAACCCTTCCACTGTGTTTTTCAGTTTTTTTTATGACTGATGTACAGTCATAAAAGTGGTGGGGCAGAAAGAATTTCTGCCCCACCACTATTTCTCTCCTTCTTTCCTTCTCTGCCTCTTTCCTTCTTTCCTTCGCTTTTTGTTTCCATCCTTCCTTCTCTCTTTCCTTCTTTCCTTCGCTTTTTGTTTCCATCCTTCCTTCTCTCTTTCCTTCTTTCCTTCCCTCCCTCTTTCTCTCTTCTTTCTCTACCTCTTTCCTTCTTTCCTTCACTCGTTGCTTCCATTCTGCCTTCTGACTTTCCTTCTTTCCTTCCCTCCCTCTCTCCTTTCTTCTCCCTTTACCTCTTTATATCCTTTCTTCACTCTTTTTTTCTGTCTTCCCCTCCCTCTTTCTCGCCTTCCTTCCTTCTCCATCTTTTTCCTTTGCTCTTTGCTTCCATTCTGCCTTCTGTCTTTCCTTCTTTCCTTCCCTCCCTCTCTCTCTCTTCCTTCTCTACCTCTTTCCTTCGCTTTTTGCTTCCATCCTTCCTTTTCTCTCTCCTTTCCTTCCCTCCCTTTCTCTTTCTTCCTTCTCTATCTCTTTATTTCCTTCCTTCACTCTTTTTTTCTTTCTTCCCCCTCCCTCTTTCTCTCCTTCCTTCCATCTCTACCTCTTTCTCTCTTCCTTCTCTACCGCTTTCCTTCTTTCCTTCACTTTTTGCTTCCATCCTTCCTTCTCTCTTTCCTTCTTTCCTTCCCTCCCTCTTTCTCCCCTTTCTTCCTTCTCTACCTCTTTCCTTCTTTCTTTTGCTTTTTGCTTCCATCCTTCCTTTTCTCTCTCCTTTCTTTCTCTCCCTTTCTCTCCTTTCTTCCTTCTCTATCTCTTTATTTCCTTCCTTCACTCTTTTTTCTTTCTTCCCCTCCCTCTTTCTCTCCTTTCTTCCTTCTCTACCTCTTTATATCTTTCCTTCTCTACCTCTTTCCTTCTTTCCTTCGCTCTTTGCTTCCATTCTTCCTTCTCTCTTTCCTTCCCTCCCTCTTTTTCTCTTCTTCTCTACCTCTTTTTTTCCTTCCCCTCTTTTTTCTCTTCCTCCCTCTTTCTTTCTTCTTCCTTCTCTACTCTCTTTCCTTCTTTCCTTCTCTTTTTGCTTCCATCTTCCTTCTCTCTTTCTTCTTTCTCTCCCTCTTTCTCTTCTTCTTTCCTTCCCCCCTCTTTCTCCTTCTTCTTCCCCTTTCCTTTCCTTCTTTCCTTTCTCTTTCTTCCTTCTCCTTTTCCTTCCCTCCCTTTTCCTCTCCTTCCTTCCTTCTCTACCTCTTTTCTTTCCTTGCTCTTCTTCATCCTTCCTTCTCTTTCCTTCCTTCCCTCCCTTTCTCTCCTTCTCTACCTCTTTCCTTCTTTCCTTCGCTCTTTCCTTCCATCCTTCCTTCTCTCTTTCCTTCTTTCCTTCCCTCCCTCTTTCTCTCTTCCTTCTCTACCTCTTTCCTTCCTTCAATCTTTTTTTCTTTATTTTTATGTCCTTTCTGCTGTTTTGGGGGGAGATTTTATGAGTGATGGTCACTCATTGGTCTGTTGGGGGTAAAGTGTCCAAATTTGGTGTCATTTCATACAGTGGTTTTGAAGTTGTGCTAATCCCACAAACTAACATGACATGTTTTATTTATATAGATATTGTCGAAGGCTTTCATGGCTGGAATCACTAGGTTCTTGTGGGTTTTTTCGGGCTATAGAGCCATGTTCTAGAGGGATTTCTCCTGACGTTTCGCCTGCATCTATGGCAAGCATCCTCTACCTCTGAGGATGCTTGCCATAGATGCAGACGAAACGTCAGGAGAAATGCCTCTAGAACATGGCTCTATAGCCCGAAAAAACCCACAAGAACCATTATACTACTGTCGAAGGCTTTCATGGCCGGAATCACTCAGTTCTTGTGGGTTTTTCGGGCTATATGGCCATGTTCTAGAGGCATTTCTCCTGACGTTTCGCCTGCATCTATGGCAGGCATCCTCAACAGACCTCTGAGGATGCTTGCCATAGATGCAGGTGAAACGTCAGGAGAGAATGCCTCTAGAACATGGCCATAGAGCCCGAAAAAACCCACAAGAACCCATTATTATTAGCATACTTTTGCCATCTTGTTGTTGTTCATTCGTTCAGTCGTCTCCGACTCTTTGTGACCTCATGGACCAGCCCACGCCAGAGCTCCCTGTCGGCCGTCACCACCCCAGCTTCTTCAAGGTCAGTCCAGTCACTTCAAGGATGCCATCCATCCATCTTGCCGTGACCTCATGGACCAGCCCACGCCAGAGCTCCCTGTCGGCCGTCACCACCCCCCGCTCCTTCAAGGTCAGTCCAGT